ATGGTTTACTCAGTTCGCTGATAATATTGTCGAATTTCATAGAATATTTTGATGTAATATTTATTTTATTACAATGTATAAAATAAAAAAAAATTATTTTTAGTGAATTTTATATATATATATATATATAAATTTTGCTGTACCTATAATGGATTTCAAAATTATTGTGGGCCCTAATTTATACTATGCACCCCCGGAACCAAATGTCTGCGCCAAATAACCTAACGCCTATGATGTTAAATACTTGTATGACAGTGACAACGCATGCGGGTATCACGTCCTCYTAAGTTTTGCCTATAAATTTAAACACAATATAATTATGAAAGCATTTCAATAACTCATGTAATATAAGTAAATGACAATTGACAAGCTATTCCTAGATCCAAGTGGGTATTGTTTTATTAAAACTAAAGGCATGGTAATTCTATGACGAATTAATGCATTACTATTCAAAGTATTCTTCTTAATCATATTTATCAAGACCTAACAATAGATGGATGCTTCAAATTTACAAAGGGTATACCTATTTACCACTAGGGTTGGCGTCAAACAAACGCTCTTAGCATTTACAATTTGTTGGCAAAAACATCATAGYCTCACTAAACAAAAAATGAAACTGCATATGATTATACATTTTAATAATAAATAAAACGTTAAAAACTATATCATTTATGTACTTTATAGAAATTTTATTGCACATTTTAATAATTTTGACTACATATTTATATCATAATTTGATACTTTTTAGCGATCCAATTATAATCAAAAACTTTTAAAATTGTCAACAAATATTTAAATCATTTAATATACGTGGTATGAATTTCAAAATATTTTTAATTTTTGAGTGTTTGATATGTATAACATATAAGGTTCATAAGTTTTTGATACATGAATTTAAAAAAAAAAGCAATTCTGTACTGAATTGGGAGTTAATAAATTTTCCAAGATTATTTAAATTTTGATTAAAATTGGATATTTGTCAGTAAGATAACGTTTTTATTAATTTGCTGTTATTTATGTAAAAACGAATACATAACCTTAAGACAGCCATGGCCATCTGCTTAGTCATTTTTCTTATTCAACGATTTATTGTTGAATTCAAAATTAAGACATCTATTAGGGCATAGGCGTGCGCAGGACATTTTTGCTGAGGGTGCATAGTATAAACGGATTAAACATTTTAGTATGTTRTATGTTATCTAGCCACATAACAAATCAGGCCAGGATTAATATAAAAAAAAAAATTAATAATAATTTTAATAATTGTATTTCTAAGTCAATGTTAGTTACCTAGGTTAATAATAATTTTAAATTATAATTCAAGATAACGTGTCTTGTGTCTATATAGCTACTATCTACCGACTATCACACTGCGATAACAGAAAACGATTGTCAATTTTAATTGTGATTTGTACAATGTAGATTCGTACATATAAGCACTGGGTAGCACTCATCGTGTGACCGCGGGTTTGAAAAAAATTATAGCTTAAAAAGTATTATTTATCTATCTATTTATTTCTAAGCTGAACTCGCTAGGGGTGCAGTTGCATACCCTGCACCCCCAGTGTGCACACCTATGGAATATGAAAAATACTCAATAACGAGGTTAAGTCTTTACTACCCCGGTTTTTAATAATATATACTAAAAAAATTACCAAAAGGCAATCAAGTTTTTGAAGTTAAATTCAGATTTTAGTACCATTTAATTTAAATTTAAGTAAATCTCAGCGGCGTATTATTTTTTTTTTAAAGCTTAAAATTGGAAAATATTTATTGGTTAGGGCCAAGTATGAAAATAAATAGCTTTCAATAAATAATTATTCCATGAACACACACAAAATTTGTTGTTTTTCATTAAAATCAAAATTTTTTTTTTATTCATACATAGTACATACATATAGAAATATAAACATAAAGAATTAAACAATTTAATAATAGTAATGTAATATACTAATATTACTATAATTGTGACGTCATATATATTTTGTTACCCTAAATGTCATTAGGGCAATCAATTTTTTACTTAGTCAATTTAAAACTAGATTAATTAAATAATGGTATATACCATAAAAATACAATAATTAAAATATCACAGAAATTTTCAGTCGTCATTTCAAACTTTTTTTTAAATTTTAAAACACTTCATTTGCAAACCATTCACCTAACGAAGATTATGAAGTTGTATAATTGTATCATACACATCTTTATTCAACAAGCAGCTGTTTATCAAACACTTCAACCTATCAATGTCATCTATGGCACATAGCTTATCCCATAAAATATTATCACCTATTATTGATTTGAACAAGACAATTTTTTTGGATAAAACTGCAGATAATTCGAATTTTGGCTTCCATTGCATCAAACTCATACAGCTGGTTAGATAATCTGCAGACCCMAACACTAAAATGATTGTCATCAGTGACTCTTCAAAAAATTGAGAACCTTTAATTAGAAGGTTTAAAAAATTCAATATTAATTTAAATTGTGTCAATTTGCATAAATATAATAATATTGTACTTACGAGGTCGGTTATCATTCAAATATTCAATAAATTTGTTCTGTAATATTTTGTAACTATTATAGGCARTGATATAAATATGTTCTTTACCATTTTTCTTAAAACCATTAATTGGATCTCTACATTTCATTAGATAAGTGGTAACAGTAGTATTACAATTTATCTTAAATGGTTTGATTGCCATATCTAAAATTCAAATAATAAATGAATTATTTAATATAATTTTCACATATTAGTGATTAATACTTACTTATTGATTCCATAATTTGTATGGCATGCAYTTCATTTTGTTGAGTATTCAGATAATTATCAATTATGGGGAACAGGGAGTTCACTATGAATTCTACTAAGTCTTTAGGATCACAACATTTTAAAAACATGACTACAGATACGAAAAAATCTATAAAACAGTGAATTGCCAATTTATTACTCATGATAAACATTCAAATATAATTTTTGTATATAAACTTACCAGGCTTATGTATATGTTGAGTAAAATTAGTTGGCATGTCTATACTAAATGTGTAATTGAAATGACAAGAAAGTAAATTGATCAATTCTCGTTGGAAAATATCGCAACCAACAGTTTGCTCAGAATAAAGTTTCTTTTTTGCAATTAAAAATGACATAACAGTGATTATAACTGGGTCTAAATAAAAATACATTAAAATTAAACAATTAATGAATAAAAATTAAATTATGTACAGTAAAACTTCGGTAAGATAGAAACCCTGATAATACGAACAATTTCTTTAGTCCTGACTCAAATACATAATGAATGTGAAAACCTATCATCAGAAACTCCATTAAGACAAAAAAAATTAGATAGTCCTAAGAGATTCCATCTTTGTGAGGTTTTACTGTACTATTAAATACGTATGTGTATTGAAAAATTTATGTGAACGATAAAACTTTGTTTATTGTTTAATTTTTTCTTATGTTGTTGGCTATAAATGCAATGTTAGATTTTTAGAAAGGCAAGGAAAACATTGATTTTACAAATATTTAATTTATTTTATAGTCAAACAGTAAATTTTAACATTTTAACTGGTTCCTAGCTTAAGTTAGAGTTTCTAATTTGGTAATTTAACACGTTGACTGCCATGTAACTTCTAGTGATCACATGATATGTATTATCGACGCACCAAGTATATTTTTCAGTGTCATACCAAATTTTTATATACTACAGTATTTGAACAAAAATATAGGAAAAATAATAAAATTATTACACAAGAAATAKAAATGATTTCTACTAAGACACCAAGCTTTTTTAACTCATTATTTTTGTGGCGTAGAAAAGTTAATAATATAAAAGTGTATTAATTTATGGTTACCAGCGTTTTAGTAATGATCAACAATGGATGCGGAGAGTCACAAACATATCCAATTTGAAAATTAAAGATGATCGTCAGCAGTCAACATGTTAAAGAGATAATTTTTAAATTTCTTCAATCATATCTTTAAGATTATATAAAAACTAGAAAAATTGAAAGAAAAAAATTAAATTTTAAAATGTACATGTCTGTTAAACATTACACAAAAATAAAAAATGTATGAGAAATATTAAACGTTAAGATAACATTTAATCTGTATRAATTGACTAGGTATTATTAACGCTTAAACTAGACGTTTTTTGTTAAGACAAATCCATTATACTCTGTTAATTATTATAGTGATTTCATTCATTGGTTTAAAATCAAAATTAAAAGGAAAGATTTAAATTTAAGATTTTAGCTAGGACACTAGGTAATTTTATTTTTGATACTTTAATGTTAAAACAATTTATAGCCATTTTAAAATAGTAATATAAAATAAAAGTAGGATATAATATACACTGTGTGCATACTGTATTAAACTGTATTAATTATAATTTCACTTTCGTAAACTAATTATTAATAAAGACAATTTCAAGTTTTCAAGTTTTTGTAGTCAATATTTAGAACTACATATTTACCTTCTTCAATACTTATACTTCTAGGTAAGCAATTTTTCCATAACAACAAAGATATAAATATGATACAGCAATACTTGTTAGGTAAAAAGACCATAGAATCAAAAATAAATATTTGAAGAGTCTTCAGTCGTCTTAATCTAACACAAATGTCAACAAAGTAAACTACTTGTTTTATTAATTGATCATCCTGAAAATAAATTAACTCAATAAGTATTTACAATATTTAAGCAATTAACAAAAAAATGGTATATTTCTGTAATTTTGACTACAGCAGTGAACAAAAATGATAATATGACTATTACTATTTATGTTCACATGTAAAAGAAATCTCTAATTAGCTTTGAAACAAATGACTCTAAATGTCCACTGCATTATAGAATTATCTACATAATTATCTTCCAGTGTATTTTACTCACATTGAAAAAATGTTCTCATTAATCTCAACAATAGTTCCTGGGCCCCCAATTTTTATTTTTTTTTATTTTTTGTAATTATTCCTATCTAATTACTATACCATTGATCCAAATGTTTTTCATAAAATATTATTGTCGTAATTTCCTGTACAATTAGTACATAAAACTCAATATAATTTAAAAGAATAAGCTTTTATTAGTTTAGTAATCTTGGCATAGAACAGTAGCCGAAATAACCGAAAATTACCAACTATACAAATAAATATACGAGATAAATAAAATGTTTACATACAATTGTATGATCAGTATTTATCTTCTTTGTCAACAAATTTCTTCGAATATAATTTAAGATAACCTCAATTAATGTATCACTTCTCAACATTTTTACTAATGCCAGGGTGATTGAGGTTAACATCAATATTTTTGGACAAGTAATATTTAAATTTGTAGATGCCAATATTTTATTTTTCTCTTCATTATTTAATTGGTCATAATTTACTCTGTAGACGGATAATCCAGTTATTATTGGAGTATCAATTGTTTTTTCAAAGATAAAAACACCAATTGAACTAGATTATACAAAAAATAAACATCAATATTATGCTTTACATTATATAATAGTTAATAAAATATATATAATAGATATTTAACATATCATATAAAATTACCTTGCAATTTCTTCCTCACTAAAAAATCTTAAATTTCTGAATTCTTTAGATTCTAAGATTTTATCTAATGGTTTATTAGATAGTATGAATTCTCTTAAGTGAATCCTGATTTTTATATTACTTTTAAAATCTATAAAATTCAACAAATATTTAAATATCATTACTTATTATTAACTATTCTCTTTCTTTTTTTTCTCCATTCAAAAACCAGAAACAGGTAGAAACTATTCATTACAATACTATTATTATATACTATTATCAAGAAGTAAAGGTATTACATAACTTTAAAAAATAATGTACTTATAAATAATTGTAACTAATGGCCTTTGTTGACAATGTTTTTTAAGAACAATAAAAAAAAAAATAGAACTTTACTGACTTAGCTTAGAAACTAAAAATGTAACTTTAAGCATTATATGTAGATTGGGACAGAATTAAATTATAAAAAGCGTGGTTAAAATATTTTATTTTCATGTATATTTATTATTCTAACAGATGTTCAAAAACTTAATGTAGTTGTATTATTAATATGTATTATTGTGTTATTAATAGTAGATACTTATATTACAATATTGCAAAATATAGAAAAAATTATTACCAACAAAACATAATTAAATTTTTACTGAATTTAACACAAATAAAATACAATATATTTAATAAGTAAGAACTTACTTTTTGGTTTCTGTAAAGAGTTTGATTTTTGTGTAGTATTGGTAGGATTAATAAGGCTTTTTTGTTGCTTATGCGCAATAATTTCTGATTTTAATATTGTTTCTTCTTTGGTTGAAATATACTGACTTAACTCTGGACATTTAATTTTTAGATCTTAAGAAATTAACATAAATTGTAATTTCAATATGATTTTAAGTGTCTAAATAAACTTACCATTTGGTTTTTGCTGGGAAACARAATTATTTTTTTTAGTAGAAAGATTACTGAATTTATTATTTTCTTGGTTTCTATAATTTATTTCTGTTCTCCACAATGTTTTCACATTGGTTGARACTGATCGGTTATATTCAGAATATTTTTTCTCTTCAACTTAAGAAAAAAATTATAACAATTGATTATTAAATATATTAAGATATACACGCATAGAAACTAATCTTTTTTTYCGCATTATTTTTATGAAATTTTAGAGAATTGAAATACAATCATAAAAATGATAGTCATCAGTATACATAATAAAAAACTTGTAAAATTAAACATTATGTGTACAATTATTTACCATTTGTTCTTATATCACACACCAATTTCTCGCATGGAATTTCTSTACATTCATTTGTTTGAAAAAACACATCACTTTTGGATTGACCATCATAATCTAGAAAATATTATGACATAATTAAATTACAAAACAAAATATACATATAATTTACCATCTAGAGTTATTTTTAGCCAATATCAAATTCTAAAACCAAGTAAACTATTCAATTTTTAATGTATTTTAAACATTTTTGAAGTGAAACTTCCAATATGCTGTCTACCTGTTTTTTGTGTACTACCTACCTACAGTAGGGAATCCCACATCATTATTATTTATTAGTTTATTACCTACTAATTTAATGTAGGTATTATGTTTTATCACTTTTATCTTATTTTTTTATAATGATATATATTTTAT